TTAAGTTATGGAAGAATACTGGTATTTTCTTTGTTACTTTATAGTTTAAATTACAATCATTGTAGGCAGCTCCACGGTATTGGCCATTTGAATGACAATGTTCTCGTACCCTATCAAAATATAGAGGCTTTTCACAAATATGACAATGTGTTGAGTTTTGGAAAGATGCCTCTTGCTCAGGAGTCATTACAAGGGGAATATATATCGCCATTTGACTTTTAATAAAATCATAAGTCTCAAATAATCTTTCAAAAAGCACATCCATAACATTTGCACCACTATATAACTCTTCAGAAATAATCTTAGAATCTTTTACTACGACAAATGCAAATCCCGGTGGAATATGTATATTGGAGTTTATAAAGCACTCAAAATCAGCATAAATCACACACGGGGCTTTAAGTTGATATTTATAATTTTTAAATTGTAATGTATCTTGTTTAGACATTTCCACTCTTTGTGTATCAAAGTTCTTACAATATGTTATATGACGTTCTAATTTATCTTTGGTGTAAAAATGTTGTAAACAAAACTTGCAAAAATACTTCTTACGCCTCTTTCACACGACGCGGCGCGCGCCGTGCGGCGCCCGCCGGATCCGGCGTAGGGCTATGGGAGTATATGAGTCCTTTCACACTATGTCCGGCGCGCGCCGCACGGCCCAACCCAAGGCCGCACTAGATATAGGTATATCTAGTGCGGCCTTGCCCAACCCCTACGCTGCCTCATTTTAGGCAAACTACCTGACCAAGAGGGTGCAACAGTTAATTAAGAAATTATATATCGTTGTATCGGAAAATAATATATTTAAAGTTATTACAAAACATACATTTTTATGTTAATCCCATGCAAATCGACCAACTTAAAGTATTAAAACAAAAATTTTCCTTTAATAACTAGAGGAGAATATTTAGTATTAAATTAATAATTTAGTAATTTATACGTAATGAAACATTTTTTTTACTTCTAGAATACAAATTTTCAGATATGACGAATACTTATATATAATACGTGAAGGTGATTTCTACGAAATACTACTCCTCCGTTAATAATGAACCGATTTTTACAAACGATGTGTCAAAATTAAGTATTTGTTGTGTACACGCCCCCTTTCACCAATTCCTGTAGTAAAAGTCCTCGGGCTTTGCCCCTCAGGCCATCAAAATCCCAATGTATATCTTATGAAGACAAGATTTTGTTTAGTTAAACGGACGAATAATTTGTATTAATTACAGCTGTTCATAGTACACACATGATACACACAAGAGTTTTCGTTTTCAGTTTCGATAGATGGAGTGGAGTGAGCGTTCGTTTTCAGGGTGAGTTCGTTTCCAGTTTCGATAACTGGAGTGGAGTGGTTGGTTACATTATCTTTGAGTTGACTCTCACACGTCAACGGAAATAGTGACAGTTATTCGTAAAAAAACTCCTTTAATATTTTGCAATTGCTCAAATTCGAGCAACAGGTGCACTAGTTTATTATATTAAAAATTATCCTATTCATTTAATTTGAACTTTTAAGTGGAGTATTCATTTAAAAGCCATAACTGAACAGAAAATAATAAATATTTAGGAGTGCCGTACGGCGCGCGCCGCACGAAACCGTACTAGTGTGAAGACACACGCTTGTCCGGCGCAGCGCCACGCGGCGGACGCCGTACGGCGCGCGCCGCTTCGTGTGAAAGAGGCGTTATTGTTATCTTTTGTAGACCGCAGCATTAACCTATTAAAATCACGAATAAAACAGTAATATGATTTACGACCTTCTTGTAATAATAATAAATCCATATGAATATTACTATTTAGTTTGGTGGTTTTTAATGGATATATAAATTGTTGGTCTTCAACTCCAAATACATTAACACTTATATTATTTTGGCTTTCAAATTTATTTATATCAGATATTTTAACAGGATACTTTATGTTTGTCATATTTAACTGATTTTCATAGGGTGCATATTTCGATACCCTTTCAGCATTTTTAGCATTCCTTGGATATAAAGCTGCTAAAATTGACCAAAGGAAGCATTTATTGTCCGAATTTTTTATATTTAAAACTGCTTTTGTTAATTTAATGCTTTCTGGTGTGGGAATGTATGACGTTGGAGTTAGGGGCTTATAATTGTAAACGTGTAACTGCCAATATTTAGTGTGGTCATATATTCATCCACTACCTTCGGCTTGATATTTGTGCATGGAAGCGTCAATCTTTAAAAGAGCATTTTCAATTTGAGGCTTTAAATCTGTCTTCTCAATGGTTAGGATAGTAAGGCTTCTGAAATCTGCAATACATTCTTTCTCATTAACTAATTTTCCATTTTGATCTATTGTATATTTTATAAATTTGATTCTCCTTACTAAAGTCCATTTTATCGGTAGAGGACAAGACTGAAGAGTACTTTTAAGTTCAGTTTTAATCGATTCACCAACAAATTTAATCATTGTATATGGACATTTGTTACAAGAATTTACGTGTCTTTTAAAATGACCAACAACATTTCTTTTACAGAAATTACAAGTCTTGTGTCTTGTGTGTATATGAGATTTTAGAGCCACATTATTATCACAGATTAAATCACACAGTTTACATACCTTCATTTGATGTTTTAACTTGTAGTGGCGAATAAGGTTGCTTTTTTTGGAGAGCGATGCGAAACAATGTTGACATGTGGTCTTCATTTTTATATATGAAATTAAAAAATAGGTTGGCATCTTCTATATAGTAGAAATTACATTTTTACAATTTAAATTAATGAGAAGTAATAATTCAAATCATAATTCTAAATTTTAATATTCAAAACAATTTTATACAATAATATTTGGCAATTGTAATTTTCTAAATCAAAACTAAATTCTAAATCTTAAATAAAAACTCTTTTTAGCAGAATGCTGAGTCTACATTTATACAGAGTTAGGGTTAGTTATATAGAGAAGACTACCTATGAAAAAATTATATACAGATTAAATTTCAGCTAAGTTTTTAAAAAGAACTTGTACACACTTTTGACTCAAAGTCCCTCGGTGTCTAAATTTGGCCAAGTGTTAAAAAAATAACTTGTACACACTTTTGACTCAAAGTCCCCCAGTGATTGAGATTCGGCTAAGTTTTGAAAAAATAACTTGTATATATTTTTGACTCAAAGTCCCCAGGTGAGTCAAATTCAGCTAAGTTTTTAAAAAATAACTTTTATATATTTTTGACTCGCTTAAAAATAGTAATAACAAAATAAGGTTGTTTTTTTTGGATAGAGAAGCAGCATACAATTGACATGTAACTAAAAAACTAGGTTGACATCTTCTATATATAGTAGAAATTACATTTTAAAAATTTCGATTCATAAAAATAAAAATTTTGAATCTGAATTTTATATTTTAATATTCAAAACAATTTCACTCAATGAGATTTGGCAATTATAATTTTCTAAATCAAAACTAAATTCAACTAAAAGAACTAAAAGAAACTAAACTTCAAACTAAAAGAAATACAGAGTATGAGTACAAGCATCAATTACGCAACCAATTGATCCCATGACCCGACACGTGACAATATATTAGGCCTACACTAGTCTAGCTTACATGTTAAAACAAGAAGATTCAGGTGATGAGCAAAGTGGTCCAGGCGAGCGAGGTGGTCCAGGCGAGTGAGGTGGTCCAGGCGGGTGAGGTGATCCAGGCGGGTGAAGTGGTCCAGGCGGGTGAGGTGGTCCAGGCAAGCGAGGTGGTCCAGGCGGGTGAGGTGGTCCAGGCGGGCGAGGTGGTCCAGGTGGGCGAGGTGGTCCAGGCGGGTGAGGTGGTCCAGGCGGGCGAGGTGGTCCAGGCGGGCGAGGTAGTCCAGGCGGGCGAGGTGGTCCAGGCGGGCGAGGTAGTCCAGGTGGGCGAGGTGGTCCAAGTGAGTGAGGATACGATAGAATCTCCCCCTTTTATACCCAAAAATTGTCAAAAAACCTGCCCCAGACAGACTGGCGCCAGACAGGCAGAGAAAATTAACAATTAGTTTTGATTGGGGTCATTGGGTTACACTCAGTCATTCATTAGAGTCAGGAGCGGGAGCATGAGGCAGGAGCCCGACCATAGCATGGAGCACGCCATGGGTCAAGAGCATGCCGAGAGCACGCCCGCTACCGGGAGCACGCCATGGGTCGAGAGCATGCCTAGAGCGCGCCCGAGTTCGCGTGCCGAGAGCCGGGTCTTTAAACAAGTGGCCAAAAAAATTAGCCATATTCCAGACGTGTTTTTTAATATTAAAAAAGTAGAAAATTTATATAGGGGTGTATAGGTCGAGAGCCTGGTCTTTAAAAAAGTGGCCAAAAAAATGAGCCACTAATTTTTCTCATTTTCCCCCTATAAAAAGTGCCCTAAAAGTGACTCTAAAACACCGAAAGTGAGGTCATATTCTGGTATTATATCTACTCCTGCAACAAATAATATATCGGCTACACTAATAGATGTGCCGATGCAACGACTAAAAAACACAACTCCAGCCATTGTTTTAATCTAACATCAATAATAGCACGACCAAAAATTCATCCACCAAAATAATATTTCTTTAACCCCATACTGTCCTAAGCAGAACCAAATCATAAACAATAGCTATGGTATAAAAGATCTACCAGATTTACAAACACAGCGATAACAATCTATAAGAGAAATTGTTAAGCATAAACACGACTATAATAACTTTAAAATGTATAGACACTAAACGAAATGTAAATACTGCGAAGTAATGCATCAAAATAGAAAAAAAACAACAGCAATCAGTATAAACTCCCAACTTTTCGTTTCTTAAATGTACCAGACGGTTTAAATCATTAGAAGACTAAAACAAAATGTACAGGTATGAACATGAACAAAATAAACTGATTTTACGTTATTGGTAAATGTTTTACTGTGTTTGATACGCTATGTTGTTGTTATTTTGTTTGGCAAAACCTAGTATAATATATAGTTTTATCCTAGATAACTCCATTTACCCAAATCGTAAGACAAAGCAGACTACTTACTCAATAACACCAGAAAAGCCACAAAAATGTTCATGTTGCATTGGGTAGGTGAACGAATGCTTCTCAGTTAGTGGTAAACTTGTGGTAAGCTGTTAACTTTGAAGTAACAGGTGTTGTTAATTACATTTTAATTGGGATGTTTTCAAAACTAACTTTACATACACCAAACGAGTGGGTCTAGGTTAAAATTATGAGGCATATGAAAATTTTTCTTACTTCTTATGTTTAAATAAATACTCACTTTTTACAACTAAACAAAATTATTATTCACAAAACTAACACAACTTTCTTAAACACATTTTACTAATAGTTTGTTTTACACCATTTAATTGTTATAATGTTATTCTAATAAGTTCATTACAGCTGTTCTTTTTCTAGTATAGGCAGGCTTAAACAAACATTTTATTTTTATTTTATATTTAACACTCCCCCTTAAGAAAAAATTTGTTTTATATATTTCTCAACGCTAGATTCTTGTAAACCCATACTGCTAGCTTAGTTAATAATATTGTTCGTGTTTTACAAAGTTGAAAAACAGTTTTAACATTTGAAAATAAACTATTTTTATTAGATTGTCTATTTTTTGTCCATTTAATTTGATGAATAATATTTACAGTACATTGTTTACCTCATCATCTTATTTATTTCTAAGTTTCAACTAAAAATTAGGCTAAACTTTTAATGAGGATTTCTTTGAACTTTTGAAATTTAGGGTAAGTAAGAGATTTTGTGAAAATGTCACCCAACTGTTCATCAGACCTACAGTATTGGAGTGCAAACAGACCTTCATGAAATTGTTCACTTATGAAGAAATAGCGTACATCAATGTGTTTGCTTCTGCGGTTCATTTGACCAGATTGAATCATTTTCATCGCTCTTTGATTGTCAATGTTGAGTGTTATTTTCACTGGCTTGTTAGTAAGTTCACTAATTAGAGTTTTCAAATATTTTAGTTCCTTGCAGCATTCAGCAGCGGAAATATATTCTGCTTCAGCTGTTGAAAGTGCTACAATGGGCTGTTTTCTTGAGCTCCAAGTCACAGGTCCACCTGCGAACATTATTACATAACCACTTATACTTTTTCTGTCTTGAGTGTCTCCTGCAAAATCAGAATCACAATAAGCATTCAGCTCAATTTTGTCACTATTAATTGAAGAGAATCTTATTCCATTGGTTTGTGTTCCTTTTAGATATCTAAGGGTTCTCTTTACATTTTGGATATCATTTTTGTCAGGATTTTCCAAGTGTCTACTTTCATAACTGACTGAAAAACTCATATCAGGTCTGGTTTTGTTAGTGAGGTAAAGCAGACTTCCTACTGCTTCTCTGTAAGGAAAAGCTCCTTTAGTAGTATTTTCATGAATAGTTTCAGTTTTATCTTTCAGGTTAATTGGTGTCTTTACTTCTTTGCAGTTCTTCATATTGAATCTTTCAAGAATTTGTTTTGCATACTTTTCTTGACTGATTAAAATTCCGTCCCTGTTACGTTTGATCTCCATCCCTATATAAACTGTTGGATTTGGACTGATCGTCATCTCAAATTCATCTTCAAGTTGCTTTAGTAGGTTTGCAATTTTTCCTTCATTTTTACCAATCAAAATACCATCATCTACATGGATAGCTAAGTAGAGATCGTTATCGAGATTCTTAAAAATACACTGATCTGACTTCAGTTGTGTCAATCCTTGACTTTTAAGAAATGAAGTAAATTTCTTGTTCTACAAGCATGGTGCCTGTTTTAAACCATACAATGATTTATTTAGTTTACAGACTTGACCTTGTTCTTAAAAACCTTCTGGTATCAACATATACACGTCTTCTTCCATTAGACCATATAGAAATGCTGTTTTTATGTCAAATGTTTGTATATGCATGTTTTCTTGTGCTGCTACAGCAAGAAGTAATCTTAGTGAAGTACTGTCCACTACAGGACTAAATGTATCTTTGAAATCTATTTTCCCTTTTTGCTGACATCCTTTAACAACAAGTCTCGCCTTATAGGTTCCATCATCTTTTACTTTGAAAATCCATTGAGTTGTTAAAATTTGCTTTCCTAAAGTGTCTTTTCTGTCAACAATTTCCCAAGTTTCATTTTTCTTCAGAGATTCTTTTTCATTATTTATTGCAATTTTCCATTTTTCTTTTTCATCTCCATTGATACATTCATTGTATGTCAAAAGTGCGTTAAGATCATAGTCTTCATATCTTACGGGTCTTTTTATGTTGTTTCTTTGTCGAAGATTATATCTTTCGTTTCTTATTCCAGGTTCTTCTTCATCAGTATGTCCATTTTCGTCTTGATATAGGTCTTCTGGTTCCTGTTCATGTTCTTCTTCGTGTTCAGGTATAGTGTCTTCTTCTTCTAGTTCTTCACTTTCATCTAGTACAGCTTCTTTTTTAACGTCTTGTCGATCATTGGTTTTAGGTTTAGTTAATTTCTTCATGCTCTCATTATTTAGGTGTCCTAACTTTTTATGCCATATTTTAATTAATTCCCTAGAATTTTCTTGATTTTTAGGTTCGTTTTTATCACGGCCATCATTTCCTTTACAGACTTCATTGCTTTCACTATTGTCTTCTTGTTGACTGTTGTTATTTACCACCTGTGACGCTGGTATTACTATTAGAGAGACTATTCTCACTACAAATGCTGCTTCTTAAATAATTTAAGAAGCAGCATTTCCCTTTCTTACTTGTGTGGAGTATTTCTAAGCCAGTGTTCAGATCGTTCATGTCGTGATTTTTGTCAACCAAGTGTTGTGCAAACGATGACTTTTGTTTGTCGGCTCTAGGAAATGGATGGTGCTCTTTGTATCTGGTTTTGAATGAACGTCCACTCTTTCCAGTATTTTTTTTAAGAAAGGCAATAGACTGGACACCCTAGAAGAGTATGAAATTTACAAAGCTTACACCGAAAATAATTTGGACGACATAATTTTAAATGACAAACTACAGTACAAGTCACACTTCATATTCAATAGCATTTTAAATCAGAAAAGGAACAAGAAGCCAGGAGTACAAAGTTCAACTGATAACGCCACCACACCGGGCTCGACATAGAAATCTTCCAGTCGGTTTTTGCTCGGAACGGGAACATGTCACCCGTTAGTACGACAGGCCTGTTCGGTTTTTGTAAATATTTTAAATGTATATTATTGTTCGTATGTGTTACGTGTTTAAACTTCAACGACGCTACTTCAGCCGAGTTTGTGTTTTTGTAGTCTGACGATGGCATTGTAATGCCGAAACGGCCGTAACATAGTTACACCACAAGATTTTGAGCTGCAGTGACGAAGGTAAAGCCTATTTTTAGTTATTATACAGCTCAGGGGCTAAAACATGGATTTTAATTAACTTCATTTATATGCTCAGGCATACATGTTTCAAGGATTAGGCCTTCCTGTTCCTCCTTAACCTTGGTCAGAAAAACAGTTTTATGGGTGTTTTTAGGATCTTTGTTATTGTTATTTTTACTAGACCTATCTCTAAAAAAACAATTCTCAGTATCATGGTTACTTTTCTTACAAATAGTACACATCATTGGCCCATTTCCTTAACTTTATTTTTAAGATAACAGTTTGACTCATAATGGTTATTCTTTTTACAAAAAGAGCAAAACTTTTTACTAGGACAATTCTTTTGAATGTGACCTATCTTTTGACAAGTGAAACATTTTACATTATTAGGCTTATTAAATTTAGTCATACCTTGTTCATATTGAGTAGAGCTAGCCTTAAAAACTGTACTTTCATTACCACTACTGCTGTCCATAGATTTCATCTTACTTTCCTCTTGAACGAGTTAAGCTTTCAGATTTTCGAGTGTCCTTCCAGTAGCTGATGTCGAGTCCCAGGCACTGTTGAAATGTCTGAAGCTTTCTGGTAGTATCGTCAGGATCTTCGTTATCACCATTGTGTCATCTATTTTCTGGTCGAGTTGGTTTAGTTTATAAGTTAGGTTCTGTATTAGGCAAAGGTTACTCATCATATCAATTTCTCTATTGCACTTGAAGTTGTAAAAGTCCTGAAGTAATGCACATTTTTGGGTTTCAGTAGCTTTTTGAAAAAGTCTTTTTAGTGTTTGAAACATTTCATGGGCGTTTTTACTAGTTAAAATATGAGGTTTAATTTGGTTATCAATTGTTAGCAATATATTATGTTGGGCCTTGGCATCCTTTACCTTCCACTTTTTTATTTTTGATGCATCATCACCTTGTTCATCTAAGGTTTCTGTTCCGTTTACTACATCTATCAGTTCTCGTGCTTTGAACAACACACTAATCTCAAATTCCCACATAGCAAATGTTTTCACGTTTTTAAGTCTTTGAATAGTGTTATAATCATTTTCACTGGTCATTATTATCAATAAAATGTTGATATACTCACGTTAAGAGACAACTTCAAACTTTGTTCTTCTAGTTTTAGTTTTATGGCATTAATAGCCCGTTCTTACTTGGTTTTATTTTATGGCATTAGCAGCACTGATTGTTATTTTTTAGTTTTATGGCATGAGCAGCCCTGGTTGTTATTTCTTAGTTTTATAGCATGAGCAGCCCTGGGCCCATAACCTGAAAAGCTTTCTTTCTTTTTATGTTTAAATAAATACTCACTTTTTACAACTAAACAAAATTATTATTCACAAAACTAAATCAACTTTCTTAAACACATTTTACTAATAGTTTGTTTTACACCATTTAATTGTTATAATGTTATTCTAATAAGTTCATTACAGCTGTTCTTTTTCTATTATAGGCAGGCTTAAACAAACATTTTATTTTTATATTATATTTAACAGCATATACATTTTAAATTATGTGGAATAGTGAGTAAGCTATTAATATTACCGCAGGTCCCATCGCAAGACTAAGGACCGATTTACTTTTTTTGTTTTGACGTCCCCATTGGCAAAAAACACCATCCGTTCCTATGCAATTTTGTATGTGGGTCACTTCAGTGAGGATATGGTAAGGTATGCATCATATCCCCTGGCTTGAGTGTAGATGTCCCTATAAAACACCATAAAATAACGGGAAAATCAAATTTAATGTTAACAACTTGAACGATTTACATTAAAGTTTAGTATGTTGTGGTACATTTAAACTCTA